CAAGGAAATAACACCCTGTTCACTTCTTACTAGTACATGGAAAACTTCACTCTTATTTCCAAAAATGAGTTCAGGGTTTGACCAAATCATACATCTGTCTGTCACCTTGTGGATGAGTTTTATTTGCAATCTACACAAACTCTCTTCATATTGGAGTTTGAGTTCTAGGAAGTCAGATATCTTACCTGCCTTTTCATTATTTTCTCTCCATACCTAAAATAATACCAGGTAAATCATAAACATTTAATACTTACTGGACAATTGAATGATGGTAAATTATTAGTTAATTACTCTGTCTTTTAAAGTTTAATCCAAAGTGTTTTATTGATATGGAATACTCATATTTCTGCCTGTGTAAATAACAAAACAATAGTGCAAGTCAATCTTTGCAATGTATGTCACGTTCTTTCATTTAATCTGAAAATATGTTCAATTGACGATTACTATATGCTTAGTTTGTGGGGAAAAGATAACCTTGGTTCTTCCTTTCAAGAATATACAGATATTGGTGATCTAGACACATAGATTATAATTAGGAGAATGTTAAATACTAAAATAAAGGCTGAGTGTAGGAGCACTTCAGGGAGATATTGACACCACACATGGTAGCCATGCAGGAGGTCACATAGAAGTGAATCTGAATCTGCTGAGTTGTCAGAGGACTTTACAAAAAGGCGACATGGAGATTAGGAAATGCAAATAGTTTTTATTAAATTTAGTAAACTAATTTTACAGTGGACAATTACAATCCTTTATTTGGTTACAGTCATATTTTAAATTTTTATCTTATTCAACACCAGAAGTACATTGTGTATAAGCATTCAAATAAAGTTTCTTTCATTCTTATTAAACACACACCAAATTTAAAAACACAGATGCTAAGAAATGTCTTTATTTCCACTATCCAAGTTTAATGAATTCCAAGCTCTAGATTTACTCTTACCTACAAAGAACAAAATGGAAGAATCATGATATGTATCCAGAAAAAGGTCATTTTTATAAGTAGCATGCTTCTGCAGGTACATTAATGTGATTTTCCAGATATATCTTTAAAAACTGTTGCTACCTATGGTGATGGCACATGGGTGACTTGGTGATGGGAAACACACAGGGGTTACAATTGAGATAAAAAAATGTACAAAATGATGTAAAAGTAAACTATTATATTATAAAAACATTGTTTCTATTATGTGACTAATGCTAATTAAGAATATATGAATGAAATTATGCTTAATGCTTAAGTAACATTTTTCCTTAATCCCCTGAATAACCAAAGTAGATATATTCTTACTTTACAAATGTTGATGAGTTTGGGAGGGTTGAGGTGACATTTCCAATCATATTCCCAGCAAATGACAAGGCCAGACATCAAACCAAATCCATGCTTTTAAAGATGATCCACTGCCTCCAGAAACAAGCTTTGTTAAATTTATGTTTCATTACTGAAGATATTATGAGCTCATGTAACCACCTCAAGAAGAGAAACTCTGCAATGAAGTGGGCTGAGCAGAGGGAGGAAACCCAGAAAATTTGTCTCCATAGGATTACTGCTTTCCTTCTATCCACAATTTTTTAGATACATACTTTTAAAAAAGATCTTTGAGAGTTCATTTTTTCCACCAATATAGGCTATAGGAGTGGTTTCTGATGGTGGAGGATGAACAGATTTTACCCACGCCAGGGATATTTGCAGACATTTTTTTTTTTTGATTGTTACAATTTAGGGAGTGGGGTGCTATGGCCATCTTGTGAGTAAAAGCCAGAAATACTGCTTTTATTTTAGAAAATTCTTAAGTTCTTTCTCTGTCTCTTTGAAATGTATATACATCCTTTCAAATGTCAAATAAACTTCTTACTGACTTTATGACCAGGGATATCTTGCTCAAAGACCGGGGACCCACCTTGAAATATAATCACTAAGATCATGCCCTACCTTCCAGTTTCCAAGGGATGAGAGGAACCTAACCCAGGAGACAACTCCTTCCCAAGAGGCAAAACTACCTCCGGCCAATTTTCCTTTGGTTAAAACCAATTAACTAACACAGATGATCACCCTAATTACCAAAATGCGTTTGGAATGAACTATATATAACAAATGATGCTGCCAGCTCTTGAGAACTAGTTGTTGCTCATGTGGAGAACAGGCATATATTAGTCAAGGTTCTCTAGAAGAACCCAGAGGATGCATGTATGCATAAAAAAAGATCCATGGTAAGGGATGAACTCTGACACTATAGATGCTATCAAGTCTCAGGATGGGAAGGGTGAGCCAGCAAGTTAGAGACCTAGCAAGAGACCTAGCTGGTAAGGTCCAATTGACAATAGTGCTGCTCACCCACAGCAGGCTCAGGACCCAAGAGCCACTTTACAGGTTGAGTCAAAAGGCAGGAAAAATTCAGTGTCCTAGTTCAAAGGGCAGTCCAGCTGCAGGAATTGTCTTAGACAGGAGGGATCATCATTTTGTTTACCCATTAGCCATCACGATGTATGGAATAAGTCTTATTCACCATAGAAAGGGGTAAGATTTCTTTTTTGTTTTGTCTTTTTGTAAAATTTATTTCAGTTTTTGCAATCTCTTGATAAATCACCTGATTGTTCATCGCATTAATTAAATGCTTATGTGTGATAAAATTGTTTCATTCAGGCCCTCCCTGGTGGCGCAGCGGGTTAAAGCATTGCACTAAGAAGCTTAAGCTACTTCCGCATGAGTTCGAACCCCGCCTGCCCGGGAGGCGACCACAAGGCGTGGCAGACCTCTCCTGACCGCCTGCTGCTCTCCTGGGCAGTGTACTTCGTTGATCTGCCTGTTCTGTTCCTCACTCTGTCTCTGGTGAATCCTCTCACCCTCCGCATCTCTGGCCTGTACCCCAGTTCTGTATGAATAAAGAAATTTTTAAAAATTAAAAAAAAATTGTTTCATTCAGTGCATCAGAACAGAGCAAATGTTAGCAAGTTTCATAAAGTTCCTAAAACTCTTTATAGAAAATAGATTGATAAAAAAAAAATCATCCTGATGCCACTCACTAAAAATTTTCACAAATTTTTAGAAAAGAGCTTTAGAAGAGTGTCTTTTTATCTATTCTTTGGTCACTACAAATAGTAAAATAATATATAAGGAGGCATTTAGTACATTCATTTCAGGAAACACCACTTTCCTTTCAAGTCAACTCTAAGACACTATTAATTTCTTATTAAACTTGATTCTCTGACCTCAATATTATATTCACATGGCCCTGTAGATGGCAGCCTGCTACAAATTTTTTGTAGGTTGTGGATCCTTTCTCTTTCCTAGGAACCCCAGAATGGAGAGACTCAGTTGGAAGAAATTACATCATTTTCACCTGCCCCCACCCTACAACCTGTGAAGAGCAATAAGGGATAAACTAGCAATGATTTATAGCTGTGGATTCTCCATAGTGGCCACTCAGAAGTTTACCTTGCAGAACTCAAAGAGATGGTCAGGTAGGTAGACCTAAGCTTGGTTACTGTCAATAATAATAAAGTATAAGGCAGAAGAGGCAAGGAAGTGGAATTAAAAGAAGAAGAGGTGCAGAAGAATGAGAAAAAAAGAAGAGATGAAGGGCAGGAGGAGCAGTTTTTGATTTTTGTCAGACTGGACCAGTCACTGAGCTCAGGGCTTTACAAGAAAGCTCAAATTTTTTCCATAACAGCTCCAAATGATAGATGCTATTTTTATTATTTCTTTACAAAGAGGGTCTTGAGAATTAGCTAAATTGTGTTACTACTATGGAGCAATAGTAAATTTGACCATGGAGTTGCAACTCCTAATGATGACCAAGAATTTGAAAAAACAACATTTAAACAAAAGATTTCCTTTTTGTAGCTAACTTCTCTCACAGATTATATATAATAAGGAGAAAACTATGTTATAACTACATTAATGATAACTTTATTCAATATCCACCTATGAATAGATGGATCATTTTTTACAGGTGTATCATTTATTACAAACTAGACATATGAGATCATAACATATTCAGTAATTTTAAAACATTTTCAAAGTAAAATCTGTAATTGTCAATCACTAAAATTATTATAATATATATTTTATCAGCAGTCTCTGAAAATAACCTTCATATATTTATTTTAAGTTTAGATTAAATAATATATTTACTTGTGGAATGTTTTCAAAACATTATATTTTTCAAAACACAAAATATTATATTTTCCTGCTACAGTGGTTTATAACCTGTCTCTACAACAACCAGTTCTGCCCTTAGCACTATATACACAATGACAGGATTTTCAATTAATTTTTACTCATATTGCAACAACAAATAAATCCTCAGTTAATTGTCTTTTGTAGAACAAGATAAATTTGATCATATACAGGAAGTATGTGAAAAAGCCAACTGGTTCACAACTGATTTCAGTTAAATCAATGTTACAGTCTGATAAAACAACACATTGTGATTCTAATATTTTTGTAACTCAATTCAAGATTTATCCAATCAAAATAGGCACAAAGCCCATTACCCAAATATTAATACCTCATCAGTTAATTTACCATCATATTAACAGGTGGGACTTATTTATTTTGGCAGATAGTCAGTTTCTAGAAGGCATTGATGGCTAGATAGATGTTAATGTTGATAAAAAGCTCTTGCTGTTTTCCTGTGACTGTGTACATTCACACACACACACACAGCCATTCCATGAGCCAGGAACATGTCTAAGCAATTTAAATGTATTTGCTTATTTAATTCTCACCTAAAAATCTCCTAAAAGGTAGGCACAATTGTTATACTCATTTTTCAGATTTTACCTTTCAAAACTTTGTCACTATTTTTTGGGTTTGTATTGTTTGCAATTTGTGTGTGAGTGAGGGTGAGTGAGTGAGTGAATGTATGTGTAAATAGAGAAACGTACTTCAGTAATTCATATACAAGAGCCCATGACCACTATTAGCAAAAGTCCAGTTCCACTTTTCTATTGTTATCCATCATTTGTTACGAAAGAAAAACTTTCTATTAACTCAATTAATACACAATAGTCATTAAAGCTATGAATATTACTATTAGTTCTTGTATCCTTAAGTCTAGTGAAGCTTTTGATTCCTGATCCTTCTCATACAACCTCCCAAACAGAGTTACTGTCAAGACCGGTCCAGATGGTGGCTTCAGACTAAACAAGCATCCATCACTTGATACCTAATTGAAACAGAGAAGTTGACTGAGTCTACCTGTAAGTTACACAACTCCACAAAACATTTAAAATTCTGTACAACTGGATGATAAACTAAAAAAAAAAAAAAATGACCAGATTCTGTTCTATCCAGAATATTTGAAATGACAGACATTTTTTAAAAACCTGTAATCAGTATCTCATAATTCACTTATCTGAAGAAGCATCCTATGAGTTAACAAGTTCAACACAGCAAATTGGAAAGTATATAAGAAAGAAACCTAATTTTCTCAGACAGGATAACAGCACTTCCAAGTAGTCAGAAGAGATTATTTAAGGGGCTCTGAGCCAAGTTTCTAGCACTTACCACAAACTTCTGATCTGTCCATTGCCCCCCAACTCCCCCACAGAAGCTCTTTGTCAGAAAAAAAGGGTGAAAGCAAAACTAGAAGGAAAATGCAGTGGAGGAATGTTGATGTAGTAAGGAGAATTTGTAGTCATTTAAAAAAAATTTTTTTTTTGCTTTCTTGCTTCTCTCACGATGTCAAATTCTCTCTCCCTTTGCTCCTACTCCTCTTTCTTTTTCTATAGCCACACAGTGTCTTCACCCACACCAAGAGCCATTCTGACTTTCCCAAGGTCATCTCAAATCAGGAACGCCAGAGGACTTCTGCTGGTGAGAAAGGTCCTGTAACTCTTATTGAGTCTTCTTCCCAATTCAACAGACCTAAAACGGCCCCCCATCTGCCCTGTAATCACCACAATAAGATACCTTTCTTTATACTCAAAGATGCACTATACCACATAAAGAATTTCCTGATAAGAAATTCAGGCTGCTCAGTGTCCCCTGGTCTCTGAGGACAAGAACATCCATCCGATGAATTCTGTGTATTTGCCAGCACTCAAGCAGTGCTTCCTCATATTTGAAGTCAGTTAGCAAGTTAAGCAGAGATACTTACCTGGAATTCTCCAGGTGCAAGCTGGACTTCACTCAGCAACACTTCAGGGAAGACATACGGGGTCGCAAAAGTCCCACTGAGGGAGAACATGTCAAACCTGGTGGAAGCACTTTCGACTGAGTGACCGCAAGAATCTAAGTTTGTTGATTTACACTTTAACAGAGTGCAAACCTAGGAAAGTAAATGCAAGTCAGTAAGTTCCAAAAAAGCCAACTGAAACACTCCCCTGATCGAGAAAAAAATGACTATGGTCCTTTGTTTCATATCATGTTACTTCCTCTTTAGATTAATCCAGTTGTTGAATAGCTAATGCAACCAGCCATAAAAATGAAGGACTTCAGACCCTAATATTGTCTGCAATTCATTGTCAAACAGATTAAACCATATAAAGAATCAGATTATTAGTCTAGAGTGATGAACAATACCCTCATTGTCTCTAGTTCGCAATGATTTTAATAATCAAGAATGTCCACTTTTTAAATTTAATTTAGACACTCTTGCTACCAGTTTTACACAATGAACAAATATTGAAGTTGCAAAGAACACGAGAGTTGATCTGGAGGCAAACTCTGTGATCACAGGCATTGTATCTGAGTGAAGTCATTTTTTTGGAGATGTTAAGTTTGAGAGTGGGGTCCTTGGGTTCACTTAGGGAAAAGTTTCACCAGAGCTCCCCTTTCAGCAACACTGGTGAATTTCCCAGGCAAGATCCTCCACCACACAGAGGGTTTCATTATATCCAAAAACGCAGATTTCTTATGAAAAGGAAAGAAGGAAAAGGACACTTGCATAGGCACAAGTGGGCAGGAGGGTGGCCACACCTACTCACCCAAAGGAAAAGGGGGGGGGGGAAGAAGCACCTCAAAGGTGGGTGGAAGGACTGCCATTGCCAATGCAGAAATTGCACTGATATTGTCTTCTCTTTGGGAGGGGCTCGTCCCTTCCTGGAGTGGTTTGTTTATTGCTGAGTTTGGATAACTGTAGAATTTGAAAGGGACTGAAGAGTCTACAATAGCCTTCAACCTCCATATCTTTACTCAGGTAAAGTAAAGATATGACACTCTAACGGCAGTCCAGACACTTTGTCTGGGTTGTGCCTTAGTTCCTATAGCTGGGTTAATGGTTATGTTAATCCCTTCTACCCCCACCTCCAGCTCCCAGCATTGTGTGAGCTCTGTGTCTGGTCTGTGGCTCCTCCCTTCCAACTTTTCTATTCTTGTCCTCCAACCTGAGCAAGGACAGAAACAGTTGTCATGGAATGCATAGCTACAGCATACTGTACCACATACACAGAGCTAGCTGGTGTAAAATCTAGGCATGCCAGTCACCTTCCCAGGTAAAATCTCCAAGGGAAGATTCATATTCATTGACCTTCATAAATACTCCATCTTCTGAGCTAATTTCATGCCACTTTCATTTATTGCCTGAATAATTCTATAGCCTTTGACTGGTCTCCTGCTTCAATTTTTGGCAGTTGGAAGGCAAATACTTTAGAGTGAGTATGTTAGGATATGAACAAAATAGTTTTTAGTAGGTAAAATTAGAGAGTGAATGAACCATTTTCTATTTTATGCCCTTGAAATCTCATTAAACCAACACTATTTTTTAAAGATACAGTGAAATCTTTTAAAAAAAAAATATATATATATATATACACACACAATGGAGTATCTTTTAGTCATTAAAAAAAGAGGAAATCTTGACAGTGTAACAGCATGGATGGGCCTTGAGGGCATTTTGCCAAGAGATATGAGCATAATAAGACAAAGGAAAACAAATACTGTATGATCTCACATGTGGAATCAAAAAGAAATTTAAACTGATGTGTTTTATCCAACAGGAGGATAGACACAGACTAATTTTAGGAACTGGGTGTTGATATAAAAGTAGTGATTTAGCAGTTCTAAGGAAGCCACATCTTGACTGGCTGTGGGAAAAGCCAAGAATCAACCCTGTCCAAAATATTCACAAGTTTTCATCCTTGAAGTGTAAGTATCTAAAAAGCTAGGCATAAATGTATAGTAAATGTCTTTATACTAAAGAAAGGAAAAGTGGTGAGAGCTTTTAAGTATTTTCCCACTTGACTCTCTAAAAGCTATAAGCAAGGCATTTATCCTTCAAGAATGGGATTGTCAGATAAAATATAAGACAGGAGTCCAGTTGTATCTGAAGTTCAGATAAACATGAATGATTTTTGGTATAAGCACATCCTAAATACAGCATAGGATATACTTATATTTTAAACAACTTTGATTTGTCTGGGCATTTGTATTTTTGTTTGCTAAATTAGGCAACCCTACCAAGGAAGGGAATGAGAAGACTTTTGAAGCCTGGGAAAACTGACTATCCCAAGAGGAAATCTCTAAAGATATATAACTCAGAGATTTCCACTAACCAAAGGCTAACTATGTCGCTCCACTTTGGCAAGCTACCACCCACATGTTAAGAACTTTCAATCCATTTTGGATAATCCTACAGGATTTCCACATATAAAGAAAATTTCTAGATTAAGCATTGCAAATTCCAAAACATTTCTACTCCAGTGCTGTAGATAAAGGATCGCTGACCAATAATAACAGCAGGTTTCTCCACTCTAAAGAAGGGTCTACCATAATTCTCATCAATAGGGAGAGAGATAAGACAAGATTGAAGGTGGGAAAGCAGGAGAACCAGTTAAGAAAAAGTTGCCAGTAACCAACTTCTGTAGCATAAACAAATTATGAAAAATAAAAATATATCACAACCGGTTTAATTTTTAAAAATAATATGGAAATATAGTGCATATACATTATGTGCATTCATATAATGATTATAGGTTGATACACCACCTAATAATTATATGGAAAGATTCTTCTACAGCATCATTTTTTTTTAGTTGATTTTCAGTTGATGGACATTTCTCCCTGTGTTCCTGACACCACTTCCCCCTTTCCTCCAGCACCTGAGATCACTAATTAAGAGCACTGATCCTCTTATATTTCCATTTTACTCTTTTGTTGTTCATTGCCATTAGCTTATAAAGCTAACCATGGCTCTCTCTTATATTTTAGAAAAACAAAAATTTCTTCCATGGGTCTCTCTCTCTTTTTTCTTTTTGTTTCAGATAAGATTTTTGAAGAACAAATATTCACTTACTATTTCATCTCATCTCCCTTTGACTTTTCAACCCACTGTACTCAAAAACTCTATCATTGTGAGCCCCGGAAATGCCACAGTATTATATTCACCCATGCCAATAACAGCTGTCCAGGCATCTATGAGAGTTCTCTTTTAAAATTCTCTTTTATTTCTCAATCATATTTGCAAGTTTTTGTTCCTATGTCCATGTCCAGCCCAAACACTGAAACTCCAAAATTTCCCCCTCTGGCCCTGTTCTTTTCCATTTTTATAGTCCCTGTCAGCTTCATTCACTCTTGTGGATGTAACCACCACCTGTATTCTACTATTCTCAAAGCAGCATTTCTGAGACTAGTAGCCCCCTAAAGTATCACCCATTCAAGCAATAGACTATCATATGATTCCAGTGAATAGCCCATAAGTAAACTTCCAAACCAGCACATCCAAACCTGACCTGGATGTGCTCTCACCACTGTCACCCAGTCAGCTCTGACCCTCAAACTCTGATCTGGCCAGGACACTACATTCAAGTCACTCTTGCCAAAAGCCTGGCATATTCTAAAGCTGTGGCTTACTCTGCAGGACCTCAAGTGCACCTGTCCGCCCTGGCTACTGTTGTGCATGGGTGAGCACACTCCCCAGTAAGGCCAGCAAACAAGCCAGCAGAGCACAGTGCACTCTGTCCTGCAAATAGCTACAGCCCACTACTTTGTATCAAGCAGAAGCTACAAGAAGCCCCTAGGTCTGATACAAATATGCACCCCAACCCCTGCGTTTGGCACATTTCCTGTTTTTCCCTGCACCTACGGACCTTATATATAACCATGGGCAGTCCTAATAAACAGACTTGAGACTTCAGACCCCAGGCTCCTGCTGCAGTTTCTTTTGCCTCTCTGAGTCTCCTACCTTCTCCTATCTTCAGGCTGCCAGCGCAGCCCTCAGTGGGTTTGCAACATAAAGTCTTCATTCTGATGTCCTATTTTTTAATTTTTTTTTTTTTGCAAATTAGCTACTATGCTCAGTTTTTAAAATATTTCTTGACTTCATACCCTGCTTTTATTTTTTTTAAGATTTTAAAAACTTATTTATGCAAACAAGAACTGGGATGTAGGCGAGAGGTAGGGTGGGGGTGAGAGGATTCACCAGAAACTGAATAGAAGGAGAACAGGAAAATCTACTGAAATCCACTGCTGAGGGTAACAGTGGGCGAGACAGGAGAGGTCTGCTACGCCATGTGGTTTAGCTCCTTGGCCAGGGATAGAACTTAGGTTTCAGTGGCTGGTGATAGTGTGACAGCAGTGAGACTTTGGTCCCAGCACCACCAGGGAGGCCCTTCCATGCTTCTATTTTTAACAACATAATCTTGGCCCAAGTCCTACTAGAACTACTGCAATAATAAAACTCAACTTTTTGTCCCTATTTCCATCACCTCCAATGCAGCCAGCATGATCTACACAAAGGCAGATCTGATGACATCTTTTCCTTGCTGAGCACTTTCCCAGAGATGAGCACCACCATAAGCAGAATGAAGTTTAACTCCAGAATGACAATCAGATCCCACAGTATGTTACCGCACCACAAAGGGTGTGTACTTTTAACTCTAAGTCATATACAACATTGTAAACCAGTATTAACTCATTTCTTTTTTTAAAAAAGATCCTGTAGTACATAATCCTTCCTCCAGCCTCATCTTCCACCAGTCCTTGCAGCCAAGGCGTGTTCCTCAGTAGCACTAACATTTGCTCTCTCCTGCATACCTTGCTCTTTCACCACCCACACCCATCCCACCATGCTTTCCACCCCACCTAGAATTCCCTGCCGTTCTTTCTCACCTGAATAATAGCAAAAGATCATAAATGATGTCTCCATAAACTTTTTTAGAACCCCAAATTTGGCCAAGTATATCTCCTTATTACTCCTACAACAAAACTGGCACACAACGCTGCATCACAGACGACCTCTACTAAAGTACCTGTTTCAGAGTCTTTCTCCCCCACTAAAGTCCTCAAAAGGTGGAGCTATACTTTTTCATCTTCCTATCATTAGTACCAAAAATATATCTGACGTATAAAAGTCACTAGATAAATGTTTGGTGGAGAGCTTATCATATAACAAACAGTTACTCAGTGAGTGATTTCAGCCCTCACAGGACTTTCAGGATGCACACAATTTCATATAATTTACCTTTGATAAAGTTAAGCATAGGCTGTACACAGGAGAAGCACCTCACCCAGTTGGGGAGCTGGGAGGGGTGCTATACGGCAGCCGCCAAGTTGAAGACAACAGCTGACCCCTGAACCGGGCTTGAAATGATGGTAGGGAGAGCCATCACCAGTCAGGAAACAACCTGTGCAAACACCCAGAGGCCCTGCAGATGGGCTCCGTGGAGGTGGGGAATCTCACTATTACAGGAACCCAAGGGCGTGCCAGCAGCAGTGAGATAAGAGGATGGACTGTATAAAGGGGCCTCATAGATTCTACAGTCATCTATGATTATGAAATTTGATTTGCCAATTAGAAGACAGTGAGGGATTTTAAGTAAAAGAGTGATATAATAATAATAATCAAAAGTGGCTGTTAGGGAGGAGGAGGGAAAACAGGCGGGAAGAGCACAAGGGACTATGATGATGGTGCACAGGTGAATTGGATTTTACAGGGACTACACCTGAAAGAAGAAAGTATACACTGTAAAAAAATGAAGAATGGTATAAAATATATATAAATAAAATATTACTTAAGTAGCTTTTAGCAATGCTTGTCATGTTTGTGTGGGAAGTGAACTGGAAGGGGTTGAAAGTGACATCAGGATGCCCACTTAGGATAATGCAATCATCCAGGAGAGACAGGGTGGGAGTCAAATCAAGGAAAAGAAGAGGAGAGAGAGAGGAACCAGGAGACTGCTTGTTCTTAGGGACTCCATCTCAGCGGGCAGTAGTAGAGTCTCCTTTCGTGTTTAGACCCGGGACATGTTTGAATCTTGGCAGCAATATACTATCTCATGCACATTTCGCAGGTCAAGGTCAACTGCATGTGTCTCCTGGGCATACTTAGAGCCAAACAAACTCTTTCTAAAACAAGTTAGGCACTAGTGAACACATATGGCAAATTTTTTTCAGGCACGACTATGAATTTTTTTCAGGCAGGAAATATCAGAAGTTGTCATTAGAATGATCTGATTTGATTAAATAATTTTAATCTCTGATAATACAAGTAAATGTTCTTTTTTCACTCTAGAACTGAGCAGACGTGCAAAATTGCAAATTTCTATAGCTAAAAACACAGGATTCTGTTAAATTTGAATTGCAAATTTTAGTAGACATACATCCTTCCAAAATATAATGAGTTTTATAATTTTAAAATATTATTGGTTATCTGAAATTCAAATTTAACTGAGCATCCTGTATTTGATCTGGCAACTTCCCTGCCATGAGAATAAGTTTTACCTGCAAATAATAGCTTCCTTCTACAATATGCAGTCCATCAAATGCCCCTAGGACATAAACTTCATCTGGTCTCTTTTCAGACATCTTGTAGGTTAGGTGACAGCAGAGATCTTTCTGACAAACTGTGTAGTTTCCTGTGACTCCTCTGAGCTCCAAGAAGGTGAATACATCATAAAAGATAACGCCCTTAAATTCCTCATTTCCCTTTGACAGAGCTTTTACACCATTGGCATAAGATGCCCAATTCACCATTACTGGCTGGCGAGGATGAGAATCCATTTGCGACAAGAGGAGTTTTCCCTCCTTTGTCTTCATGTCATAATGAAATGCTCTGGGAGAATCTGGGGCATAGATGCCACTTCCTGGAATTGAGAAATGGAAAGAGCAATGGAAACAGAAGTGAAAAGAATGGCAAAATTATTATTGTTGTTTTAAAATTATATTAACATCTTACTCCTTTTAAATATTATATTTCATTAATTATTGTAATAGATGCTCATAAATACAGGTGAGAGGAAATTCAGTAGAAACCAAGAAAAGAGTTGCATATAAGTAGTGATTTTTGAAAGAAAGGGGAAAAAATTATACATTCAAATGAAATAAAATGAAATAAATCAGAAAACTGTTAAGATTAATTCAATAGCACATGAAAATGTGGAATATTGTGTTGAAATTCACTGTATTGAGGAATATATATTAGCTAGAATAAAATACTATTTTTTGTTTTTTTTTTCCTTCTATCAAGGCTGTAAATGCTAAAACTTAGAATTACCTGTCATTTTCTTTGAGGGGTAGTGTAAGTTGGATGCCAAGAAATTGACGCCCATGCCCATTGCCCATGCTGAATGAAACTCAATAGCAGATAAATGTGGCAGAACATTCATCCAAGCTGTGGGGAAGAGAATGGTGTCCACATGGAAATCCTTCACCAAGGTGACAGCAGGATCGTGGAAGAGGATATCGAAGCATGTAAAAATGCCAAACTTTCCAAAGGTAGTGTTAAAAGTCACCACCTCAGTCTCTTTGGGTGCATTGAACTGGTCTTCCCCCAAGAAGAGGTTTTGCTGCAATAAACAAAAGATGAAGGGGGTGGGGAGAGTCTCTTTCAGGAAGATGGCCAGGATATGACTACCTTAAAAAGTGCAAAACCGTATCTGTGACAGAACTGCTTTCATCTATGACCACTCTCTTCACAGAGAAAGAGTAGAATGTTTGAGAATAATAGATTACTACAGTTGATGGGAGCCCTGGGTTCAAGCTCTGTTTTTAGAGATGTACACAAGGGGTTTCCTTATAATTTTCTAAGTCATAGAATGAAATAGATCATTTCTATAAGTATTTACCAAGGACACTGAACTGTTTTCTGTGAACAAAGAATTTTTTTTTGCTTCTTTCCCTTCAAGACTAAATCTATCTGGGGGCCTTCCTGGTGGCACAGGGGTTAAGGTCTCAGCACAATCAAATTATCACTATTCTTCGGCAGCATGTGTTCTATCCCAGCCGGGAGCTGACCCACATGGCGCAGCAGACCTTTCTTATCTTGCCTGTTGCCCCCTTCAGCAGTGTATTTCAGTAGATCTGCCTGTTCTGCTCCCCACTCTGTCTCTAGAAATCCTCTCATCCCCCCACACCTCTGGCCTGCATACCAGCTCTTATATGCATGAATAAATAGGGTAAATCTTTTTTTTTTTTTTTTAAGACAAAGTTCAAAGGGAAACAATATATTTCAATTCAGGAGGCTCCTGCCAACACTCATGCAATCCCAACAACCAGCTCCTGTTCCTTCGTGCACAGGAAAACCCTTGGCTTGGGTCCAGGTACCTTCCACTCTCATTATTTTCCATGCTTTTTCTCTCCTCTGTCCTTAAAGTGTACGTATTATTATCGATAACAGTGATTATTTTCCATCTTGTTCACTTTATTTTGTTAAGCATTCAGTAAATGAATGCTTGGTAGATTTATTCTCACCTTATGGTAGCGCGCCACCAGCCTGCCCTCAGAATCAAACACCACGTCAGTGTTGTATTGGTAACGGCCGTCAGGGGGGCACTGCCGGTCACTGGCATTGCACGGCTTCTTGTCCCCAATGTTTGCCACGACATAGATGGAATTGTCCCTGGCCAGGCAGCTTAGTCTTTCTTGCACCGGAGTGTAGCCAAACCTGATATTTTCATTGGAAAAGAAAAAAGACATATCAAATTTAGTTTCTGAGAAAATTCAGAATGATAGATGCCTGAAACTATTATTTATTTGATGTACACAAAAATAAATTCTAAATAACAGTAAATAGGAAAGGATGACGATAATAAGGGTTTAGAGGAAGCACAAAGTTATGGAAAATTAGTGTATCACTTCTCTTGCACAGGATGACAAGCCATACATTTTTTAGTGTCTAGCATTTATCACCATCTACAATTATATATTCATTTATATATTCATCTTAGGAAGTCTGTGACATACACATTATGGAGCAAAGATACAAATCTTCTGTTCATTGAATCCATGCTGACAGGAAAAAATTTATCACAAAATTATTTTGAATGAAAGAAAGTAGTTGAAAGTGGAAGGATTTAGGGGGGCCTCCCTGGTGGTACAGGGGTCAAAGACACAGCACTATCAAGCTATCCCCAGCCAGTTCCAAAATTTAGTGTAGACAGATTCTGTCAGTGCAGTGATGTCAGTAGAGGGATGGCTGTTCCACAATCTTCCCAGAACCCTTTTAATTTCTTTTTTTTTTTAAGATTTATTTATTCATACAAGAACTGGGGTGTAGGTCTGAGGTGTAGGGGGTACGGGGTGAGAGGCTTCCAGAGATAGAGTAGGGAGAGAACAGGCAGATGGACTGAAACACACTGCTGATGGACAGGAGAGGTCTGAGGTACTGCCATCCCTCTACCGACATCATCGCATGACAGAATCTGTCTAGGATAAATTGTGGGACTCTGTAATACTTCCAAAATTTGAAGCTGGGATGGGCAGTATGGGTGAAGGGAGGCTTAGAAGGTAAATTGAAGTTAATTTCAGATGGTAACACTCAAGTGGCAGCCTGTACCCCACCCCACCCCAGTCCCATGACAAGCAGTCATGCATTTCTGAAAAGACGTTGGAAGCGGCTTGTGGGGTATAGAAGGCAATGAAGACCCTGTACTCTAAGTATCAGGAAACTGTGTGCTGGCTGCTGATTACTTCTTGTGATCGTAGAGGTGCAGACCAGAGGTGGGCAGCCCCTGTCGCATACACACACACAACACACACACACATACACACACACACATACACACACTGCTGTTCTATGTCCCTCCTCTGACTGAACTGATTCCAGGGGATTGAAAGAGCAAGAGCTTCCTTTTTTCCTACTTCAGTTTTCTCTTTTCCTTTTTTTTTTAGAACCAATTATTTAAGGACTAGAATTTATAAAAGCAATCACAAATACAGGGGGATTTTAAAAGTCACCACTCATTCAGAAAAGGTAGAGGTAAACATTTCCCCCACCAAAAAATAAATAAATAACCCGAGAAAAACTTAAATTTTGAACTCAAGTTCACCTCCAGCACAGAAACCGACTATAAAATCAAATACAAAATAAACAAACAAACAAAAAACAGCAACCCTTAGGGTAGGGGGAAAATTTAATTTCCAGAATTATCACTTTCCATGATTGAAATGTCTCTTTATCAATAAAGAAAAATCAAAAGACATACAAATAAATAGCAAAGTATAGCCCATTCAAAGGGAAAAAATAAACCAACATTGGTCCCAATTTAACAAACACATGCCATCAATGGGTTTGTGAAAATGCATTATCTGAATTTTCTTTATTTAAGTTAACATGGCATTGGCCTGTAGAATATACGTGAATGGTGAGTGACTAAATTGGAGAATCATTAGGAAGTTGTAATAGTTCAGAATCAAGGCATCAAGGTTTGGGGTAGGTGGTGCCAGTCAGGACGTAAAGATAAAAAACTGGGACACTTGTTTGTAATTCTTTATTATCCTATTACATTGTTTCAATAAACAATCAAAATGCAATTTTGAAAAGTGAGACATACACCCGTATTCTCTCTTAGCACTTTCCTGAAATAAATGGTTAGCAGTAGCTAATCCAAAATAGCTGAAGAAGCTATTGAATGAATAGAAATTTGGTGCCATCTGCTGGCAAACTATGAACACTTTCCTTGTGTAATAAATCCTGACTTACTTTTATATATTTGTACAATTAATTATGAAACCATAACAATGACTCACAAAACATATTCTTGAAAACCTCCAGGAAGGATGAGAAACCACATTTAAAATATTAGTGTTTTAATGTATTTATGCAAAGAGTGACAAGCCAATCACTTTTTATCCTCATTTGTTTCAGTAAAAATCTAAAGTACACAAATATAAACACAATACATTGAACCACTTTAGACATAATGACCCCAAATATTTTCAAATCACCTGACTTGGTAAAACTGATACACAAAATAGAAGTCTGATGTTCTGGCTTTGTAAAATAATACTAGCTAGATATTTTCACCTTGTCTCTGTCATTCTTGAAAGTTTCTAGCATATCGTTATTAGAAATATATTAATATATCATTACATATTCTAATATAGGCTGTTTTCTATGCCCAAAAAATTTCCAAATTTCAAAAATTAATATAGAAAGCAATCTATATTAACTGTCCAGATTTAGAATTCTAAAATGCATTTTCTATAGCTATAAACTTTTTTTATATAGATATTCATTCATGATTTCCAGCAAAAAAAAAAAAAAAAAAAACACATCTTATCTATGTGAACCCAAAACCCACCTGCCACTTAACCCAGGCTTATAGCTTAAACAGTCAATCAGTACAGGTTAAAAAAATACTTGTCGTATTCACCAGCTTTTATAAAATAATACTTTTCTTTGTCCTCAGTGTGTGAAGAGGCTACTGGGAACAGAGGAGGTAAAACAAAAGAATTTAAAGGAAAGTTCTAAGGCTGTTTTGAAGGGTTCCGTCTCTAAATATAACAGAACTCAATGATTAGAGAAAACTGTCACAAAATAAAATAGATGCACTTTAAGTATTCAGCAAATTTGTTGGGCCAACTTCTGGAAGAAGAACGTTCCAAACAGTTGTCCAAGTGGAACTTGTAGGAGCTACGAAGGTAAGCTAGTGTGCTGTCGCCTAACTGTATTGAAGAAACCATGCATGCACACAGAACCCTGAAATAATAATATAAACAAATATTCCAATGCTATTTTATAAAAGCTGGTGAATACAAGTATTTTTTTAACCTGTACTGACTGACTGTTTAAGCTATAAGCCTGATCATTTGTGCCAACACTCTTATATTAAATGATATCCCTTACATGAGGACTTCTGTGCATCCACAGAGAGGAGTGTCCAAAAGTAGGTCAGACAACTGCTTGTCCTATTTGTTTTGTTTTGTTTTGTTTTGTTTGTTTATTTGTTTCCAAGGATTAGCAGTGAGGTATTTGATGTCCATAGAAATATTCCAAACACATTGAACACATATTTAAATTTAAATTGAACACATATTTTTGTGCTGTTCTGTTTCCTCATATTTTCATTTTGTTTCCTAGTTTCATTTGGGAAAAAAAATCCAGTAACACACTTCAGAACTCATAAATCACTCTTCTTATTATTAAAAGAAGGCTCTAATTGTAGAGCCTCCCTGGTGACAGAGAAGCTTAAGTCTCCGCACTATGAAGCTATCGCAGCCACTGCAGCGTGAGTTCAATACCCAGCCAGGGAGCTGACTCACATGGCCTGGCAGACTTCTACTCAGCTCACACGGCCTAGCAAACTTCTACTCATGTGTCCGCTGCTCCCCTCAGCAGTGTATTTCAGTAGATCCACCTGTACTGCTCCCCGCTCTGGCTCTGGTGAATCCTCTCACCCCACCCTGAACCTCTGGCCTGTACCCCAGTTCTCATATGCATACATAAACAAATCTTAAAATAATAAAAAGAAGAGAAATCTAATAGTCAGATGAAAACAAGGAAGAACGAAAAAGACCAGACACTCGATTATTTCACTCATATGAAGAACTTAGAGAAACAAAACAAAGGAACTGACAAAACTAACCCTGGAACTATGACTGCAGAACTGAGCTACCAGAGGAAAGAATAGAACAAGTGGGGGACAGGGCCAGTGGGCCTTGACAAAACACTTTGGGTGCTTTGATGGTGGGTGTGGGATGGCGATGTTTTTAGGACAGTTTTGAAAAAGGAAGTGCGATGATTTAAGAGTGGCACAATTGGGCAGACGTGAGTTAATTGACGCGATGAATGATACACAACATATATGGTATTGTTTTATTTCTATCAATAGTACTGATGGTACTTTTGTCTCATTTCAAGGTTAACTTTTAGTAGGGATATAAGCCACTAACAGTTGTGCTCTATTACCTACTAAGACAGCAATCAACTTAAGTTTAGGGATTTCATATACATTAAACTCATCAGCTATCTCACTGATTAAGAAAGGGAAAATTTTCATACTAAACTACAAGTGACATAGTCTGCAATTTAGACATAAAGCTTTTAAATTACAGGTCCACACAGGGGAAGAAGTTTCTGTTCACTGGTTCAGAGTCAGAAAACCAGTTTGGACCTGGTTCTCCCAACAACCAGCTACACCCGTGATCCTCACCACATTCATTTTCTCAGTTGAAGTATATCGATAATGAATTTGAGGATTTTTGTGTAACCTTCTGGCATCAGTTTCTGATTTCATAATTTTTCTTTACCTTTCTACTAAGTATATGCATAGAATATGAAAAATAATAAAGCTATCTTGAACGTTACAATTGATCATGGAGTTTATACAATGAACTTCTGAACAATCTTCCCAGGTGAAGTAAGTTCATATTCATGACTGCATTTTTCCATAATGTGCTTCTTTTACCTGTTGGGATTGTTGCAAGGGATCCAGTTCATGTGAGGGTCTGGAATATCTTCCAAGTATGGGTAAATAGATTCCCTGCTGAAATTCCAGCCGTAAAGAGCATCTTCTGGAGTCACAATAATGTGTGCACCCTGTTAAAATTGTAGCCTAATTAAAAAATTCTCAAGTAATCCATGGACCTCCCTGGTGGCTCAGCGGGTTAGAGCACAGCACTGAGAATCTACAGCTGCTTTAGCATGAGTTCAATTCCCACCTGCCCCTGAAGTGACCACGTGGCACGGCAGACCTCTCCTAACCCGCCCGCTGCTCCCCTCAGCAGTGTACTTCATTGATCTGCCTGTTCTGTTCCCCACTCTGTCTCTCGTGGAGCCTCTTGCCGCCCCTGAGCCTCTGGCCTGTACCCCAGTTCTGTATGCACACACACAAAAAAAATTCTCAAGTAATCCAGCAATCAAAAAGAGAACCACAAGGAACCTGAGAACTTTTTTCCTCAGGCTTTTTTCTCCCTCTCAATGTGTTCCCCTTATTTTTATGATGTGTTTTCTTTACCCAACCACTTTTATTTTCTGATCTTACCAGCTCTAATGATCTTAACAAAATGTTTTCATTCTTTTGTAGACATTAACAGATATCCAGGTTATTAAGAGGCTTGTCACTCTTTACAGAAGTTAACTATAAACCTGAAATTACTTCCCTCTCTAAACTTTGGCCAATTCTTCTGAGTGTCGGATTGATTGATAACCCAAATCCTCTGTTCCCCTTCCTCCTTTGCTTCAGCCTTCCCTACTCCCATACCTGCAAACATGATTGCTGCTTCTCAGAGGAGGCAACTCAGAAGAGTTATGAGGGCCTTCCCTGGTGGTGCAGGGGGTTAAAGCACAGCACAAGAAGCTTAAGCCACTTCCTCATGAGTTCAGTCCCCGCCTGCCCCAGAGGTGACCACATGGTATGGCAGACCTCTCCTGACCCACCCGCTGCTCCCCTCAGCAGTGTGCTTCGTTGATCTGCCTGTTCTGCTCCCCACTCTGTCTCTGGTGAATCCTCTCACTCTCCGCATCTCTGGCCTGTACCCCAGTTCTGTACGAATAAATAGATATTTTTTTTAAAAAGTTATTAGATGTGTACATCTAGTACTGGTTACTGCTTACTAGATGTGTACAGGGTAGACAGGTGCTACCTGAGCTCACCTGGGACCTTCATGTGGGAGAGCCACCCTGAAAACTGATGGGGCCCTTAAGAAAACAGCTGGGCCGAGGGTGAAAAATAGCCTCAGAATTCTTAATAACCTTTCAAATTTTCACACAAGTACATATATTGATAGATATCTGCAGTATGTGTGTATCCATGGCTATCGCACTTCATATTTCTCTTGTCTTGTCTATGAATATCACACTCAAATCATATTCCTTCAACCCACACACTTCAACTTTACTGTCATTCCAACTGTCATGCCAAGACTTACTAGCAGTAACGTCTATCCTGTAGTGAGAATGAGGTATAAAGTATATAATAAACACTGTGAAGTAATTTGCAACTTAAATTGAATTGTCTGGGTGTCATGAGCTTACATAAAAACCTGCAGACTCATGAAAGCACAAAGGTGGTATCCACTGCCCTTAATCTCTAAGAACGGCAATTCTCTCTATTCTCTACCCCTTCTATCTTCTACCTTCCTTCTGCAACAAAAAAGATAATGCATTTATAGTAAGTTCCATAAAGGTCTTCTGCTTCTAAATGATAACCAAGCTCTTAGTTTCTAATTTTGTCTTCACTACTAGGAACCAAAGGAGCTTTCCTGCTGTAATGATTGCAGGAGGGGGGCATCTATTAAAGTGTCTCCTAAGACCAGACTCCTCTTTTTCTACATAGAAGACAACAAACGTGAGAGTTGGTACCTTCTTTGCTGCTAATGTGATTGCTCCCTCTAACAGATCGAGATTTTGATTCATTAATGCCAGTGCCTCTTCATGGGCCACAGGGATGAGGGTGGAATTAGGCAAAATCACTGCATGCTCATAGACAGCGGCAATAAATGTGTCCAGGCTGCTGACTTTTAAGACACAGAAAACCAATATTGACACAGAAGTCTGCAGCTGAGAAGCAATCATGCTGAAATCCAGTGATTCCTGAAAAACAGGTCAAGTCCTGATATTTACATAGAGAAAGCACAATAATCATATGGTTTCCAGAACTTACTACCCTGAATTCATTTCAAGACAACCTTATGGCTTTGTATCATTATGGTACAAATGACCTCCCTTCTTGCAAGAATCTATGAGGATCTTGTAGGTAAATGTGTGTGTTAGTTTCCTAACACTGACATAACAAAATATCCCAAACTAGACTTAACCCACAAAAAGGTAATGTCTCTCATCTCTGGAGAGTAGATGGGTGTATCAGCATTGTGTCCACCATTCATAAAAATACAGCCATGGCCAGAAGCTTCATGAACGAGACCCTGGCTAGGGACTCTTCTGGCCCGCAGGAAATACGGCTTAATATCTGCTTGTTGGTCCACGCCACTACATTTGGAGAAAATGTGTTGTACACAAAGAAAATGAATAAGGCTTATGTGTTCTTCCTTGCCCTGATTTCCCATTTTGAAGAAATTTAAGTTAAGTAAATTAAGTAGAAAGCCCAAATACATAATGAGACTAATAATAATTTAATCATTGTAAACTGTTCTGCACATTATTTACAGATTCTGCTATCTGTTGTAGTTCTGTAAGTATGGAATTCCAAAAATTCATGCTTATGTCATAACCTCCTATACCTTAGAATGTGATCCTTTTTTTTGAAAACGGATTGTCTCATATGCGATTAATTAAGGGGAAAACATTCTGGAGCAGGGGAGGCAGTAAATCCAAGGAATGGTATCCTTATAAAAAGGAGACATTTGGGCCCTCCCTGGTGGCGCAGTGGGTTAAAGCACACCACTAAGAAGCTAAAGCCACTTGAGCATTAGTTCAATCTCCACCCAGAAGGTGACCCACATGGTGCGGCAGACCTGTCCTGACCTGCCCACTGTCCCCCTCAGCAGTGTACTTGTCAGTTGCCTATTCTGCTCCCCGCTCTGTCTCAGGTGAAATCTCTCACTGTCCCCAGACCTCTGACCTGTACCCCAATTCTGTACGCATAAATAAATAAATCTTAAAAAAAAAAAAAAGGAGAAATTTGAAGTTAAGACAAGCACGCAGGAAGAATGACAGAGAAGATACCCAGGGAGACAACTGCCATGTACAATGAAAGAGTTCTGAGCAGATCCTGTCCTCACAGTCTTCAGGTGGAAAAACCATAGTTTACTTAGGGTTTAATGCATCCCCTGGTGGTGTTGGGACATGTCCCTTACAGCTGAGGAGGTGGTGGGAACTACTGTAATTCATGCACAGATATAATGGTTATATCACAAATTATAAAAGGAAACAAATAGAAACTAAAACTGAAACAAATAGCAAATTTTTAAAAAATATTAATTCTTTGATCTTATGAAGTAAAAATATGAAATAATAACCTCCCATTGGGGTTCCTGCCCCACACAGAAAGTGCTTGGAAATCATCTCTCCATCATCACTGGAACCAAAGCTGAACAACTGAAAACAACAACTTTTCTAAGATACATCAGAGAATTAAATTCAGATGACAACCACTCACCGTAAATTGGAGCGACATGAGCTTACCTCTTCCTGGAACTGGCACTGGGGTGATCACCAAAACTGCTGACGACTGGCTGGAGGCAAAGTGTGGACACGCCTGAGAGGTAAACACGTGGAGGCTTCAGGATTAGGAAACCATCATACTTTTGTGACTTTTACCTCAAGGACCACCACTGCTTTCTCTGAAAAACAAAGAGAAACACTTGCTGCTTGTGCTCCTTACTGGAAGAGAAATCCATCCACTCTGAGGTAAACCCAGAGCATTTGGAGCACAAAAACAAGCCAGAGCATTTGGGGCATAAGAACAAGCCAGCCTTCAAGGGAAACATTTGCCAGAGCTTCTGATTATGCAGCATCAGCCGAGGCAAAAAGAAAAAGCTAAGGAGTGCTGTGAGGAACATATCCCAGCACCAGCACAAGCTCACCACAAGATGCAGGCTTAATCATTAGACTGCAAAAGTAAATAACTAAAGTCACATTAAAAGAGGGTGGGAGAAAGTCACTGTTGGAAGAAACCGCTTTACTGTTGTTTTTACACAAAAGTGGACCCTTGGACTAACACAAATCATCAGCATTTCAAGAGCCCAGCTATAACGAGAGCCTGTTTAAAAGGACTGACAGAGTGAACTTTTGCCTATTTTTACTTTGTGACTCATCCAGTGATCTGTGAACATTTTGACTCCTTTCCCAAACCATTTCCTTATCACTCCCTCATCCTCCAAGAGCTCATTTTCCCTTTTATCCCTTTAAAGCCCCTAGACTTTTGGAGTCTCCCTGGTGGTGCAGCTGTTAAAGTCTCAGCACTATCAAGCTACCACCTCTCAGTGCAGCCTGAGGTCAGAGTTTGATCCCTAGCCAGGCAGCTAAACCACAGAGCACAGCAGACCTCTCCTGTCCTGCCTGCTGCTCTCGTGGGCCGTGTGTTTTGGTAGATCTGCCTATACTAGTAGAGGGTATGTCTTCCTTAGACAAACATTCTTGCAGTAGAATGCCATCAGCAGACACTGGAAGGGGGGGGGGCAGCAAAGGCTCCCACTATCTTGCCCAGCTGGTCTGTGATCCCTAATACTGAGTCCTAGGCAAGAGAGAACAAAGTAGACCGCTGTGGGGTCAGGCAACAGAGGCAGAATACCCCAGGAGACAGCAGTGGAGATGAGGTCCATACATGCCAAGTGGGTCTAACCAAAACACTCTCTGAGACAAGGGCAGAAAAATCCAGGACTAACAAAGGAGGGTGTACACTTTAAGAGCAACAGGGGCAACTAAAGAAAACACTCTAGGGCCTTCCCTGGTGGCTCAACGGGTTGGGACACAACACTAAGCAATGTTGCTGGTCGCAGTCACTTCAGTGCCAGTTGGATCGCCTGCCCCAGAGCTGACCCACATGGCTGGCAGACCTTTCCTGACCCGCCTGCTGCTCACCTCAGCAGTGTACTTAGTCAATCTGCCTGTCCTGCTCCCCACTTTGTCTCTGGTGAAACCTCTCACGGCCCCTGCACCTCTGGCTTGTACCCCAGTTTTGTATGCGTAAATAAAATACAAATCTAAAATAATTATGTATATATATGTATTATGTATACATGTATATATATATTATGTGTATTATTATGTATGTATATATATTATGTGTATTATGTATACACACACACACACACACATATATAAAATACTCTAAGAGATGAGAAAGCAAGAGACAATTCTGGAACCAGGAGTGTGACCATCAAGAGAGCCAATCACAAAAAGGCTGATGGGACATTAGGTTAATTAGTAAAAGGTGTATGTATCCCCTAGCCATGAATCCATTGTGGCATCTTCACTCCTTCCTGGCACCATGGGCTTGAGAATCTTTGATTTGTTCTTATTCCATTTCTTTCCTCTAAATAAAACTTTTCTTTACGTTTTTAAATAAAGTTTGCTTTCTTCTGCTTATTTACCTGGGAGTTATCAAAGTCTCTTCTGCAGCTTCACAAAACACACAATTTTGGTGGTCCAGTGGTTAGGATTCAAAGCTCACTTCCCAGGGACCTGGGTTTGATTCCCAGGTAGTGAACTAGACCTCAAAACACTGTAATTATGGCAACAGTGTGCACCTGATACAGTAAATGGGCTCTCAAATAAGTATTGCGGATCTTCCTCCTTTGACAAATTTATGACAGAATTGGTTTTCCCAGAGCTCTTAACTGACTGTGGGTTTATCTTTTCTCTCTTTTTTTTTTGCAGCTTCTCTTCTCTTGACAGGTTTAGGCTCAGAGAAAGGAAATCCTAAAAAAAGCAAATAGTGAGAAAGCTCAAGGGCTCCACTCCTCTTCCTCCCTGGGCTGCCCACTGCCCCCTCCCCATTACTCTTGCTGACTCCCCATTTTTGTTTGTCTTTATGTTAAATAAAGGCTGGTGCCCACTGGTCTCCATCCCAGCACTAACTTTTACTCCCTCCCCTTTGCAGACGCTCGCCCACCTCCCCTCTTTCTTTGTTGAGCATTGTGTCAATAGCCCTGTAGCTTGCTAAAGAGCAGGACAGTGGTCTTCCGGACATGAGCCTGCTGCCCTCCTCATTTGTCGACAATAAACCACTTTCCTTTTCCTCAAACTCTGTTTCCTTTTATTGGCTGAGGGAAACTGAAACCTACGTTCAGTAACACTCCCTCAAGCCAGTCTGTGACCTTTGAAAAGCAACCTACATCCTGCTTTACTCCCCCAAACGGCCTTTCTGTACATGCAGAAAGATTAGGGATATTGTCACCAACAGAACTTGTGCAGAGAGAGAAGCCTTTCTTCATTGCTCAATTCTCTTCCAGCCAAATCTTCAAGAAGGAAAAGGGAAATGTGACCTCCCTGTCAGAGTAGGAACAGGACTCGTCGTTGTTGTAGTCGTCTGGACTTTGTTGATCAACAGCAATGCCTACTCAGGAAGCAGACCCCAAAGGGAGCTGTGTCGCAAGTGCTGTTTCAGCAAAGTGGAATATGGCAGAGTAGGGGAACAAGGACAGAAGGGAGTAGACATCGTCTTGCACATTCTTTATGTTCCCAGTGATGTTGTCTTTTGAGTTCGGGGTTTTGGGGTTCACTCTGGGAAAGGTTTCACCAGGGCTCCCCTTTCAGTGGCACAGGGCGAGATTCTTCATGAGACAGAGACTCAGTTATCTTTAAAGAGGAAGTTTATTAGAAAGAGATGGGAGAGGAGAAGACACTTGGTCAGGTGCATGTGGGCAGGAAGAGCTGCCCCAAAAGGGACAGGCTTGCAGGGAGAGAGGCCTGCATGGCTGCAGGCAGGCAGGCGGCTGCTGCCTTGCAGAGGGGGAGCGGGTGGAAAAAGCACCTGCATAGGCACAGGTAGGCAGTGGAGCGGCTGCCCATGCTAGAGAAACAGTCCAGATATAGACAGCTTCTCTTTGGAGGGGGTTCACTCCCTGTGAGCCCAGGTTTGATGACTTTGAATAGAATCTGAGAGGAGGGAG